ACCTACCAATCAAAATCACTCTCTGCTTCTAAGCTGTCTTCTAACACACTCAATTTGCCAAAAACTCATTCGAGTTCCAAGCTCGTGTATTAAGTTTTAAACGAAAAACCAAAAAGAACTTGCAAGAAACGGTTTGAGTTTGATATACAGCTGGTAACGATCTCTCTCAACACGCAAAGAGAGAAGGCAAATGCTGAGGTTGAATAAAGAAGCGAATTTGTTGCAGAGAGACTGACAGAGATGGTGGTGAGAAAAGTAGGAAAGTACGAGGTAGGTAGGACAATCGGCGAAGGAACCTTCGCCAAGGTAAAGTTCGCGCAAAACACGGAGACAGGAGAAAGTGTCGCCATGAAAGTGCTCGATCGCAGCACCATTATCAAACACAAAATGATCGATCAGGTCAGTTGATTCTCTCTCGCGCTGTATCTTCTTGGAATTTTCAAATTTGTTTGGATAGACTGATAAGTTTATTGTCAGTTCGCACACAAACACAGTCTCTCTCTCTCTCTCTCTCGGTTGATCTTTCTTTTTGAACTAATCAACCTTTTGTCCTTCACTGCGTGAACGGATGTAAAATTGAGAGGATCAGATAAGGTTAGAGTTCAAGAATAAGCTTTGGATTTGCTTTCACTCGGCTATTTTAGCTAAGCTGGTTCACGTCTATCCTGAAAATGAGTTGACGAGAAAGGGCTATAGTTTTTCGAAAATGAATTATCTTTCCGTTTCTGGTAAAATTTAGCATTCGATTGGTGGAGCTCTTATTGGAACGCAATCAAACGAAATAAGCAGTCTGCTTTATCTCGCTCTACCAATTATCTTAACCGTGGTAACTTGTATCTAAGTTCAAGATTTTACCTTGACTGTTTAGTTCAATCTGTGGGTTACTAAACAGATGCTCCAAATTATTCCGCACTGGTTCTGAAGTTACTATTTTCAAAATCATGATGCAATGATGTAACAGCCCTTTGATCCTCAATATTGCTTTGAGAGGCCTCCTTAATTTATTGATAGGGTTTTTCAGATCTTTAATGGCAACATGTTCTTGTCTTGTACATGATCTTGAATTTCAAGATTAAGCCATTTTGGCTTTGAATTTAATTCAATATGCTTCATTTCACATTATGTTCTTATTTTGTTTTTCTTCTTTACTCCTTGTCAATGCAGATTAAGAGGGAGATATCAATAATGAAGCTTGTTAGACATCCTTATGTTGTCCGTTTGCATGAGGCAAGTATTTTCTTTTTAAAAAAAAAAAAATCTTTTATGCCGCCTAAATCTTTTTATTTTCTTTCTTTATTATAATCTTTTTGCTTCATTCTGATATGTAATGTTGGTCTCTTAGGTTCTAGCAAGTCGTACTAAGATTTATATAATCTTGGAGTTCATTACAGGTGGTGAATTGTTTGATAAAATAGTAAGTAATCCAACTTGAGATACAAGGATTCATTTATGTACTGGCTGTTTGTGGTTTGGCATTTTTCTTTATCACGTTAATGTAGGAGAATGTTTAATTCTGATTATGCAGGTTCACCATGGACGACTTAGTGAAGCAGAAGCAAGAAGATATTTCCAACAGCTTATTGATGGTGTTGATTATTGTCACAGTAAAGGAGTCTACCACAGAGATCTAAAGGTGCTCATTTGCTGACTTTAGGAAATTTTTTATGGGCCTTCTATGTCACAAATTTCTGACATTGTTTTATCCACAGCCCGAAAATCTTCTGCTTGATTCCCAAGGGAATTTAAGGATTTCAGATTTTGGACTTAGTGCATTTCCTGAACAAGTAATGAACTGTAAACACTATTACTTTTAACAAATTTTAATCATTGTAGTTGAGAGAAATGAAATTAAATGGCTTCTTGGTTGATTATTTTTGAGCATAGGGTGTTAGCCTTCTTCAAACAACCTGTGGGACTCCTAATTACGTGGCACCAGAGGTAGATAGTAGAACTGTGTAGTTTCTGATTTGATGGTAGGAGGAGTTCTTTTCTTTGTTATGCAAGATTAGATCAATCTGTTGAATTCCCGCCGCAGGTTCTCAGTCACAAGGGCTATAATGGTGCTGTTGCAGATGTTTGGTCGTGCGGTGTCATACTTTATGTTCTAATGGCAGGATATCTTCCATTTGACGAGCTTGATCTCATGACTTTATACAGTAAGGCACGATATCTTATCATGTCTACTATTTCGTGCACATTGTACTTCTATAACTTTTATGGATGTTATTCCTTTCATGTTTTGGTGATCTTCTATTGCTGATATTCTAATTAAAGGGTGAAGCAGCACAATTTGTTGAATGATCCATTTACCACTGTGAATTTGATAATGGGAACATTCAAGGTGGCATTGTTGGGCAAGAAATAGGGTAAAATGTTTTCACTGGTTTGATAAGTAAGAATTTCCACTATAACTTTGTGCATTTCCTAGTGGTAGTGGATGGTGATGCTGATCATCCTTTAAGTTATTTTCCTAGGTTTGGAGCCTGAAAGCCCGTTTATGTCACTGCATTCTCTTGACATCTTATGATGCCTGTTTTCTATCTGAGTTTGCTGTCAAAAACAGTGTTACAATTTAGTAAATTACTTTGTGCAGATTGAGAAAGCAGATTTCTCATGCCCATCTTGGTTTCCAGTTGGAGCAAAATCCTTGATTCATGGTATTCTAGACCCAAATCCTGAATCTGTAAGTATAGGCTTCCTGATCAAACATTTCCTTTATGCATCACCTGTTCACTCGCTTTGCTGGATATACTATGACAAATACCAAAATGAAGGACAGCAATGTTTGTATTAGATGACATGGGTTTAACTTAAATGCTTGAACTGATATCTTGTTAACCTGAAAGATATGCATTGGATAATATCATTTTCGAACAAGAGATTGAGGTGCTTGACATAATGCTTGATTTTCTCTCTCTCTCTCTCTGTCAATGTGTATAGCGGATTACCATTGAAGAAATTAGGAATGATGAATGGTTCAAGAAGGGTTATGTTCCTGTTCGACTACCTGAACATGAAGATGTCAACCTGGATGATATAAATGCCGCTTTTGATGATTCTGAGGTAGTAAGGTTTTCATATTATGTTTATTCATATGATCCGATCTTGTGGGGCCAGCATATACTCCCATGATTCACAGTGGTCAATCCAGGGTATACCTGCCTTTGGTGGGTTCCTGATTACCAATTGAAAAAAAAAAATTATCTAGATCTTCATGATACTAAAAATTGTTGATTTATGCTCTAATTAGATAAATATAAAAAGCTCCTCTACATATCCCCCTCCAACAGTATATCGTAAAAATAGGTTAGGCTCATGTAGGATTTTCAATGGATAACTTAGAAGGGTTCCCAATTTTTTGGAACTTGAAAAATTTCTTAATAAGGTTTATTTACATATAGTCATTTTCTATTAGGTTGATATTTTAACATTATAGCTCACTGTAGGAACAAAAATCAGATGAGCATTGCAGGAATGAAGGAGCTGGCCCTTTAATTCTTAATGCATTCGACTTAATAACTCTATCTCAGGGCTTGAACCTTGCAACATTATTTGACCGTGGGCAGGTATATATTAGTGAATCAGTTATTTCATTTTCTTTAGTTTTATCTAATGCTTGTTTGAGCAGACCTACCTCAATTATTAACATGTATTTATGTTATTTCTGCTTGTGGTTCATAAAACAAAAGGTTTGCCCTTTTTCATGTGAGACTTTAGATGATTGTATCTTTGGTCTTTTCTAATATTAATATTGTAAAGCTGCTGTCGTTCATATTATGCCATTCAGATTCCAGATATGTTTGCTTCTTATGCCTGTTAACATATTTTACATCTTACGGACAGGACTCAGTAAAGTATCAGACACGCTTTATTACGCGGAAGCCAGCAAAGGTTGCTCTATCGAGTATGGAAGTTGTAGCACAATCGATGGGTTTTAAAACACACATACGCAATTATAAGGTTAAACAATTTGAAGTTTGCTAAAGATTTGTCCCTATATCATGACGTTAAGAAGTCTGATATACTTTCCTGCCTGTTTATTGTGCATTTTCTTGCTTGTTTACTGGTTATATTTCTCTATCTGAATGAAAATCTTGTTTCACAGCATCTTTGAACTCTTATTAACTGAGATCATCTGCTAATTTTCAGATGAGAGTGGAGGGTCTTTCTG